ATAAAACTAAAAAAAAAAAAAGACCGTACCCTTTTATGTAATGATGTTTACTTTGAATTTATATTAGTTCACACAAACACTCTATTCATGCTTTTGTTCCGGCCCTCCGGTCCAGTTTAAGAACCCATTGTGGCCCTCGAGTCAAAAAGTTTGCCCACCCCTGGGCTAGGGGCAGGGAAGGAACTGACTACAAGGAAACAGGAGGAAACTTCTTGGGGTGATAGAAATGTTCACTATCTTTTTCTTTTTTTAAGAGTCGGGCCTGCAGAAGACCCTGGCTTCTTTTTTTTTTTCCAATATATTTTATTGATTTTTCACAGAGAGGAAGGGAGAGAGATAGAGAGTTAGAAACATCGATGAGAGAGATACATCGATCAGCTGCCTCCTGCACGCCCCCCAGTAGGAATGTGCCCACAACCCAGGTACATGCCCTCGACCAGAATCGAACCTGGGACCTTTCAGTCCGCAGGCCGACGCTCTATCCACTGAGCCAAACCAGTCAGGGCTCACTATCTTGATTGTATAGTTTCATGTGTATATGCATATGTCAAGACATAAAATGTCAGTTTAAATACATGCAGCTTATGGTCTGTCGATTATCCTAAATAATAAAAGGCTTATCTGCAAATTGTCCCCTCCATGGGGAGTTAGGCCAGGGGGCGGTGCCAGCCAGCCAACTGCCTGCAGCCCCTCCCCCCAGCCAGCCCTGCTCCAGATCAGCCCCCCACCCACCCCATAGGGGCTAGAAGGCCAACCTCCCACGCCCTCTCGCCCTCAGCCCCATCCACCTGACCCCACCTGTGCACGAATTCATGCACCGGGCCTCTAGTATATCAATAAAGCTGTGAAGGAAGGGAAGGAGGCAGGGAAAAACTACCCTTCCGCAAATAGAGCATTGTCCATATGCCATGGCAGAGTGGCACCACGCGAATTCATGTAGCTACTGAAAACAAGCCCTATCTGAATAGGTAGGAATGTGTACTGACCATTCAGTGGAAATAGCAAGTTGCAAGGCAGCGGGTCATTGTAGGACCCCACCTGTGTGTGTTCAGGTTTGTAACCTGCGCTGAGCAGGGGGCTTCCAGAAAGGCACTTCCAGGGGTAACACTGCCCCCTCGTGGAAACCTTGGAGATAGGTCCATTTGACATACATATTGCAAGTTATTTTCCTGAACACTCCAATAAAACAGTCCTTATCAAGGTCACCAATGATCAAACGCAGAACTGTAGCAAGATCCAAAGGTTCTTGTTAAAGTTGGAGAACAGCGTCTTACAAGCTCCCCGCTCCCCCCTCCCCCTGATCCAGCCATGTCAGTATTTGCAATTCCTTAGCTCTGGGATATTTTATCTTGTTTTATTTTTTATAGCAAAGGTGGAAATTGATTG